TATTAGTAGTTTTATAGCATGCCTTTAAGCTCTTTGACTCATTTCCCAGGGTGAAATAGAATTTATGTCCCTTCTAGAATCTGAGACAAGCTTAGTGGCTGGCTACTCATGTGGCCTTTGAGGGTAGGTCGTAAAAGGTGATTTAATCTTGTACATGAGCATGCAGAGGCTGGTGGAGGCTGGAAGAGAGCCTCTGTTGTAGTTACTCAAGTGCTGGAAGACAAGGTATGGCCAGGAGCTTGCCAACTAAGTTAGGCTGGCTGCCAATTAGTCCAAAGGGTCTGTCTGCCTCTGCTTCTTCCAGTGCTAGGGTAATTAACATGTTCAGTTTTCATTTTATGTAATATAGTGTTGTTATGCCTAGGTCAAGAGACCACCAGGAGCATGAGTCCAATGCAAAACACACAAAGGTCTTTATTCAAGCTCGAGCTTGGGTCTCAATCCCTCTCCACACAGCAGGTTGGGAAAGAGATCATCAGCTCCAAGGTTACAGGGTTTTTAAAGGGGAAATAGCAAACAGGGGCTTCCAAGCCTTAGTGTTATGTGATTGGACAAAGGGTAAAGGAATGAAATGCACTTTGACCTAGCTGGTTAATAGCACCTGGCCAAACCACAGAGAGGAACAGCTTGCCAAGACACTGCGACCCTGGGAACAACTTACATTTTCTTAACTGACCCCGTCTTTATTGGTCTGCCTCAGTTAGCTGCAGGCTGCTGAGAACATTCTGTGGTTTTTCTCAAAACTTAAGGGTGGGAACCAAGGTACTCTGGGGACAAGCTAACTTTGGATGGAGTCTGAGAAACAACATAGAGTTAGTTCTGCTAAGTTAACCCTTTTATTATTTGGGGATTACACTCAGACCCTCATGTTTGCAATGCAGATTCTTTGTCAATTGAGTAGCAATCCTACCATTATTTAATCTTAATTAACTATTGTCTTAGTTAGGGTTACTATTGCTGGGATGAAACATCATGACCAAAAAGCAAGTTGGGGAGAAAAAGGGTTTATTTAGTTCACACTTCCATATCGCTGTTCATTATTGAAGGAAGTCAGAGTAGGTTCCTGGAGGCAGGAGCTGATGCAGAGCCCATGGAAGTGTTCTGCTTACTAGCTTGCTCCCCTATGGCTTGCTCAGCCTGCTTTCTGCTAGAATCCAGAACCACCAACCCAGGGATGGCACCACTCACAATGGGCTGGGGCCTCTCCCACCAATCACTAATCAAGAAAATGCATTACAGCTGGGTCTCATGGAGGCATTTCCTTAACTGAGGCTCCTTCCTCTCTAATGACTCCAGCTTGTGTCAAGTTGACACAAAACAAGCCAGTACACTTAGGTATGAAGGCTGAGGCTACCTGTTGTGAGGAATTCTTACCTTATAAAAAGCACCCCCCCCTTGTTATTCAAGTCCAGTCAAGTTCCATGTAAGTGAAATTCCCCTAGAAACTCCTGAATGTATCAGTCAGCTCAGGTCACTGTACTCTTTATCACACAAGCTGAATACCAGACACTTATTTTTCACAGTTGTGAAGTCTGGGAAGTCCAACATGAAGGTGGTGACTGATTGGGTCCCTGTGAGAGCTCTTGTGCCAGGCAGACAGCTCTTTTCTTGTTGTGTGATGGGGAGAGAATGATCTCTTTCTCCCCTTTCTTACAAAGCCACTAAACCCACCACGAGGGAGCCACCATCATGACCTCCTCTTGGCCTGGATAAGAAGGCCCACTACAAATATAGTCAACGTATGAACTGGGGCACATAATCTCATCAATCAAATTCCTTCAACTTCCAAGTCATTCAACTAAATGGCCTAGATATATTGGAATACAGACATCAAAACAAAACAAAGACACCCCCCCCCCAAAAAAAATCCTCTATTCCTCTTCTTTCAAATTCTCAGCCTATAGCATTTGAAGCATAATGGAATGGTTGTGTTAATTTGTTATGCCACAGTGGGCAATCATGATAGGCTATGTGCTTGTGCATGTTGTGTGAGGGTTGTGGTTGATGTACCCTCTTTTGAGAAGTTGCTGTCAAGGCATTACTAGTAGAGAATGAAAAAGGATGGAAGGATGGGGGGGGGTCAAGCTCCATCATGTGCTGAAAAAGACAAGAGCTGGGACCTCTTCACAGCCACAGTAGACCGGTCTCTGTTAAATGTACAGGCTGCTATCAGTACTTCATCTAAGCCTTCTGCAGGAAGGATAGAGCAGAGTCAAGGAAGTCAGAGTCTAGACAGAGGGACAGCATAGATTCCTCTTAAAGGCGAAGGGCTTCCGTAATGCTCAACACCCAATGCAGAGCTCATCGGCTAGACTGAGTGTACTGGGATATAGTAAAAATCATTCTCAAGGTAGGAGTGACAGCGAAGTAAAGTGGTAGCATGTGCATGTAATTCCAGAGCTATCGAGGTGGAGACAGGAGGACCCCTGGGCCTCACTGACCAGCTAGTCTAGCCAAACTGGGGATCTCCAGGCCAGCAAGAATTCTTTCCCAAAAAATATGGATGGTGTTCCTGAAAGTGACACTCAAGATTTTCCTTTGGTGTTCACACACATGAACATTCATGTGCATGCAAACTTTCACACACACACACACACACACACACACACACACACACACACACACACCTGAATATGCATGAACATGCATCCATACACACAATCATTGTCACTACAGGATAATGGTAGTAGGCCACACGTTAAGAATGACCAGTCAGGATCAAGAGAAAAGGAGTATGGGACACAGTTAATTAGCATTGGTGTCACTCAACTGAAACTGCCCAGTGCCCTCCACTATGAGAGAGCTTTGGCTGCACAGAGATTTTTCTCTAGCCCCAGAGTTTTCATTGGATGAAGTCCTGAGCACAACCATTTAAGATCTAAGCCTTCAATCACAATTTAATGTGAGAACTGAGCAGAGAGCAAATGCACCAAGAAAAGACTTTAGAGGGAAGAGAGGCATTGAATCCTGTCCAAATGCACCTGCAAGCTTTGCAAGAGCTAGACAATCTGTGTGTAAATAGCAAGCTAACCTTAGAGGTGGACCAATGCCTCCTCTATTCTTTTTAATGATTTTATTGTATTTATTATACTTACTTATTTTAGTCTCATGTGTATGTGTATGTGTCTGTGCGCATGAGTGTGAGTGACTATGGATGTCAGAGGACGACATGCGGGTTGGTCATGCTCTCTTTCAACCATGTAGGTCACGGGGATTGAACTCAGGTCATCAGACTTGGTGGCAGGCCCCTTTTCTTCTTTCAGTTTTCTTCTAGTGCAACATGCTGGCTACCCGAAGCCATGTTTGAGTCACAAGAAGGTCAGACTCCATGTAAACAACTCACATCAGCCAATTGGATTTGATCCTCATAGACTTAAGTTGGTGACATTGACACTGGAGAATGAGGAAGCGCTCATGTTATGGTACCACTCTTAAGTTTTCACAGTGAGCAGAGAAGATGCAGACGCTCAGGTCAGGGGAAGAACAGATGTGACCATCTGCTCCTTTGCGCCCTTTACCTCCCTGTTGTTGGCTGTACCCCCATGAGTCCTGCCTGACAGTCCATGAAATGTCTCAGATCTTGAAACAGAGCACCTTTTCAAGTCTAATATGCTTATAAACTTTTGAACCCAGTGAAGCTTGATTAAGATAATAGTTACAGGAGTCCTGGACCAGGATTCATTTTTCAGATCTCACTGACTAATTCATAAGTTATTACTCTTGGTAATGTCATCTCCACAACCTTTCAGGACATGCCAGCCATTGTACGTCCCAAGTAAATGCATGAGCCCATCCTGCCTAACAGGCACACGATGTCACAGGCACACACCTCGGAGATGAACTCTCTTAAACTTAACTTCCCTTTAACACAAACATCTGGAGTTACTCAAACAATGTGTTGGGTTTTCATACTTCCTTTAGTGTGTGAGGGGGGAGGTGTTAGGTAGAGACCCTGTTTAACCTGGAAAATTCTGACCAGTACAGACTATAGAAGCTAGAGCAAGCACTCTGATGGAGTAAGGGAAGATGTTTAAAGCACGGGTGTTATTCAGACAGACCCTGTCTCTGCTATTTGTCTATTGTGTGACTAAGCTTTATTGTTTGAGCTCAGCAAGCATTGGTTTCCTCCTCTGTGACACTTAAAGAGTCAAAGGGTGATAGTGACCAGCAAGTCCTGGCAAGTGGTTTGGGAAGTAGTGTTCTGTTATCATCACTGAGTGTTCTCAAGAAGACTCACTGGCTCTTGAGGACCTTTGTTTTCATCTCGTGATTGCTCAGTTCTGCTAAGAACTCATTAACCCCAGGTCTCTAGGTTACAGGTGAGGCTTTGCCCCCTCAGCATCTCTCCTGGATCCATAGATCTGCTGATCGGTAGTCCTGGTAGCTGAACCTGTTGTTCATCACCGACAGCGTCGTCCATCAGTCTTCTAACGGTTCCCTGGTTCATGAGTTGCTGCAGATGCCCCTCCCCTCTGTCTTGCCCAAAGAGTTCCCTCGGAGTTTTGGATTTTAAAATGCTTGTATACTGATTCTAGGAAGCAGAGAGACAAACAAAGAACACGAACAACAGGAAGCAGCGTGTTTGGAGGTGCACAAGTCTAGCCTGCAGGTGTCACACAAATGAAGCAGGGTGGACCATCACCTGCGTAGGACAGTGCCTTGCGCACATGCTCCGCAAGCCATTTCCTCTGTCTTTGGACTTGACGTCCCTACGGATTGAGGCAACTTGGAGAAGATGTTATTGTCCTGCCCACACACTCCTCCCTTTTCATTTCTCTCCAGTTCCTTCTCTTCTCTTTTCTCCTCTCCTCATTCCACTTTCCCCTTCCTCCTTCCTCCCTTCCTGCCCACTTTTATTTGCAATTGCTTTCCCTTGCTGTTTTAGCCTTTTCTCACTTTACTTTTGTTATTTTCTTGCAAATCTCTCATTCCCTTTGTCTTTCTTCTTTTAGTATCGAACATATCATTGTTCTCTGACAATAACCAAGCAAAGACAGAAATCACATACATGCCCCTGCATGAATAATTTCATTTCTCCATAGGAAGACTGAGAAGTCACAGAAAATGAATGGGGAAGACAGAACCCCAGTGACAGCCTGGGGAATCTCAATGGGCTTGGGCTTGTCCCGATGTTTTTTTCCATTCTTTGGCTCGAAGCTTTGCTCGCTCAATTTTTCCTGTGATGGTCTTGGGCAGGTCTAAGACAAACTCCACCTGTTGTGAAAAATCAGATCAATGCAGGTCATTGATGACCACAGTGGCACTGGAGTCTTCAGAGGAACTGCTTTGAGTACCAGCTTTTAAGGCTGGAGGGCCCGGGTGAATGAAGACAATGCATGGGGATGTTCTAGGTTAGCTCTGTTTGCAGTAAGAACACTTATAAGGCCTCCTGAGACCAGAGCAGGAAAAAGATGTTTAGAACAGGGCAGAGAGGTTCAGAGCACTGGATTTTACAGCTGGTCATGAAGAGAGAAACAACAAAATGAACACGACGTGGCTCAGAGGCAGACATCTGAGCTCCGACATAAAACTCTGCATGCTTCAGTTTTTTACTGTCAACTTAGGCAGGTCCCGTGGCCTTCCCAGTACTCAGCTTAACCACTATGTAAGCTAAAGGACAATAACAGTGCTTTAAAGTTGTTGTGGAGATAATATGAGACTGCATGGAGTAGACAGCCATGAATATCAGCTGTGGCTATTCACCTGAACTAAAGGAGACAGCTAAAGTAGACATCAGAAAGCTGCGGAAATGGTTTTGAACTGCACCTCAATTCTTATGATCTGAATGAGTGAGTTAAACAGTCACTCTTTATCGTGGTTTGATTTTGGTGGGCTTTTATTACCTATGGTAAAAGACCTCTCCTGGTCTTTTCAGTCTACAACAATGGATGGAAAATTCTAGAAATAATTCATTAGTGTAAGTGAAGTTTTACCATTAGGTTGTTATGGTTGCTGTATTTCTGTTACTGTTAATTTCTTATTGTTTCTGCACTTTGAGCTGTATTGGTTAGAGATGTTCATGTTTAATGGTTCATCTTGTCAGCACAGATGATCTTTGTTGTAGTTACTCCAGTTTGCCCTTTAAATGCTAAGACACTAAGAGGCAATAGCATAGACCTTTCAATACAAGGCCCCTGGTGGACAAGAAACCACAGAGTGTTATAACAAGAGAAAGTTACAGACCACCATGAAAGCAAGCAGAGAGCAGACACACCTGACCAGACCCAGTCATACCAAAGCTGAGGACTGAAGGCTGAAATTCCCGAAACCACAAGCCAGCACAAATCCTTCCTGTACGGGGTGTTATCTAAGACATTTTGGTCATAGTTATGAGAAGCATAACTGATACAGTATACACAGGGGGAAAAACATAGCTTATAAAAAGTTTGCTTCTATTGAACTACCCAAAGAAGGTATGACTGGGGACTCCTCGCTTGATCTTACAAATGTCCAGTCACAATTCAAAATCCCTCATGTCTGGTTTGACTAAATGCCTTGCTTCTTTTTTAAAAGATGAAAAAAAGAATTTTTATTTTTATTATATGCATATGGGTTTATAATATTTTATTATATGCATATAGCCTGAGAAGTTAAGCAGACATGGTCTTCCTGCCACGGACTAAGGCAGTGTCCTTGCCTGAGTCCCCATAGTGAAAGCCTCTGAGATCTGAGAACCCTCTGTAGCCCATTTCTGCTACAAGAGTATCTTTTTTTTTTTTTACAATAACCTCCCATTTATCACACAAACCATATTTTGGACATGGGGAAGAACTCGCTCTCATCCTTCCTCTACTTTCTGCAAGACAACCACATGACTCAGAACTGGCCAATCAAGATAGCCCACTGTCCTGCTTTTATAGGATAGTTTAATAATGAGTACCTAAATTAGTCTAGCAAGAGATAACTTCAAGACTTGGTCATAAGTCTTTGGGGGCCGTGCATGCTACTTTTTTACTGCAGTTTGCCAAGTTGCCAAGAATGCACTTTGGAGTGAATGGCACCTCAGAGGGAGAGCATATGTCAACAATTGAAGCCAATACAGAAGGAGGGAGAGAAGAAATAAGATAGAACTCTCTGACCACATCATACACATGCCTGGAGCTAATCATAAAGAAGGTTGTGCCAACTTGTGGACTTGTCAATCATGCAAGCAACAAATTTTAAGTTATATTTCCCTCACTGCCACTGAACGCTGTATAGTTCTGAATAGTTTTGCAAAGCTCCACTGTGCAGAGGGTGAACAGAGGTCAGAAATGACTGGAACTCCCATGAAAGCATTTGGCTCTTAATTCGGAATGAGTCAAAGGCTGTGGCCATTTTTTTTTTTTTTTTTTTTTTTTTTTTTTTTATGCACCAAGACAGTGGCTGGATGGTCTCTGGGAGGTTTTTGGTCACTGCAGGGAGGACTTTCAAATGAGAGGCCTTGTCCTCGTGCCAAAAAAGAAAAACCTAACATCTGTTCATCTACAAGCATGGGGACGTGGGATGGTTGAGGCCTCACCTTCCTGGGGTACTTGTAGGGTGCTGTCACTGACTTCACGTGCTGCTGCAGCATCTTGGTGAGCTGATCTCGGTCCTGGGACAGGAACTCAGGGGCTAGGACTACAAATGCCTTCACCACCTACAGCAAAGACGGGAGCCAAGATGGACCAGAGAACCTACTCATCTCTTGGGATAAAAGCAGAATCAGTATCAAGATATCCACCGTGGCTATCACAACCAAAGACCTGTATTCATCCAAATATTAGGGCCAGGGGAAAGGAAAACATGGGAAGTGGGTAAGGACAGCCAACATTCCAACTTGTCTTCAACTGACTTTTTTTTTTTTTTTTTTTTTTTTTAATGACAAGTGAGGATAAGATACCCCAGGCTCACTTCATAACCCAGATGCTGAGAGCAAAGAAAGGAAAGCGACGACTGGGCATTCTTACTTTAAATGGCTTGTTTAACCTCTTCAAATTTGAGCTTACCCATCTGTAGGGTGGGATAAAACTTTCATATTTAAGTCGTGGGAAGTACAATAAAACCATCTACCATCCAGAGCTCAGTGGAAGTCGCCCTTTCGCTCTCTCAGTGACACTCAGTATTTCACATGCTGCATGCTCGATATTGTCAGACACAGACATCACTAAGCCTGTGCCATGCAGAAGTGCCCTGGGACTCTGATCCACCTACTCACTTAAGCCCTCTCCACACACACTAAGCTCTGCACAATCTCGCCACCCTGGAGGTACAGGGTCCTCCCTATTATTCACTCCACGGTTCAAGGGCTACATTTTCTAGACCAACTCCCTCTTCTTTCACTCTTGTCAAGAAACAGATCTTTACAGGTAGTGCTAAGCCTTGCCCCAAGCCCTTTGCAAATCTATAGCACATTTAAGGCTCATGACAATCCCTTATTTCCCAAACGGGGAAACTGAGGAAAATTGTGCTCAAGCATCTTGGTGAAGGTCATGCAGCCAATCAGCAGGTAGGGCCAATATTTAAGCCCAAGCTGAGCTGTCCAGCCTGTGAGTCTGTGTTCTTATCCGCCTTACAACACTGTCCCTGTGTTTCAATATGGCACTGTCACCTCTCCTCTGGTAGGGTCTGGGCTGCTGATCACAGCTGTCTCAGCCACAGCTGGGTGCTCCATCAATGCATTCTCCACCTCCGATGGTCCAATTCGGTACCTAAAAAAGCACATCCTTCAGGAAAGATGGGGCACATCCTTCAGGGAAGATGGGACACCCAACCTCTAGGACCTAGAACCAGGCAGAACAAAAATGCATAACATCCTCCCCGGTCCAGAAACTGTGCTCACCCACTGGAATTGATGATATCATCTGTCCGCCCCATGAAGTGGAAGTAACCTTCAGCATCCTTGATTCCCCGGTCTCCCAGAAGCCAAAAGTCTCCTCGAATATTGTCCTGTGTCTTCTTGGGATTGTCCTAGTGAGCACAGAAACTTGTCCCAGGCCTTGTATGAACAGTTACTTCTGCTTACCACTCGAGCAGCTCTACACTGTGTGGTGGGCCTGTCATGAATCTACCAACCTTGGTTTCCCCAGCCAGCCTGGACCTTCTCCATTTATTTCAGTCATTCCGCTGAGGGTCTCTCACTTACTCCCATAAATTAAAATCTTATAGATAATATCGACATAGTCATTGATCTGCTTATACGCTAGGGAGTTCCCCTCTCTATATTCCATTTTCCCTTCCAAAGACGGTTTAACCTCTGTTTACTCCACACCATCAGCCAAGGTTATTGAGTTCATTTGGCACTCCCCCCCACCCTACCCCACCCCTGCTCTTCCAAACAATGTCCATACTTCTGCCATGGCTGGGTCCTCTATTTACCTGAGCAACTAGCGTATAAGTAGGAAGGAGGCTTGAGGGCTACTCATTGTCTGGACATTTTTTATATTGTACTCAGGTATGGGGACATGGATTTTAGGTTGATGTCCAGTTACGAGGTTATCGCCATCATTTTGAATGTCCAGGGAAGTTCAGGGGGCTTGTCTGAAGCCAAACCTGATATTCTAGGTTGTAGACCTGATACCAGAAGCCAAATTTCTTAACCCCGGCTCAGAATTCTTATAGTCGTCACGCACCTTCTGCTGGCGTTACCACCATGGCCTTGAATAGATCTGCCAGCACCGCTGTACCTGTGGTGTTAGCACCCATGTCCTAGCTCCCTTGCGAACATGTGAGAACACATGGGAAAAGTGTGCAGGCAGTGTTTAGAGAAGAGTGTGATGTAGCTGTGTCCTGGTCACAGAGCCTCCGTTTCCCCTGCACAGTGGAGGTGATCATTTGGACCTGTCGTGGTCCCTTTATTTAGTACCCTTGTCTGCAGTGCCGTTCCAAGTGCTTCATAAATAACGTTATTTTTACATTCCTAATGTTATACAACATGGTACCCAAACTCACCTATGAGGAAGTGAAACAGGGGGATGAAGAGCTTGCTCCTGATCATCCAGCAACTATAGGAGTAGTGTTTGAACTTAAAGCTGGCTCTAAAATTTCACATGGTGTCTAGGGGCCTTAAATGCGTTTAAAGTATATCAGGAGTTTTAAAACAGTGCTTGCCTTAGAGTATTTACTCAATAAGCCAGCGGTTCTCAACCTTCCTGCTGCTGCTGCTCCTTAATACAGCTACTCATATTGTGGTGACCCCTAACCATCAAATTGTTTTGGTTGCTACTTTGTCACTGTGATTTTGCAGCCCACAGGTCGGGAAGCACTGCAATAAATGATGGGAAGGTCATTATTACTGTCCTTGCTCACTTATTTATCTTGGGCACAAGCCTTCAACACACATATCCAGAAACCGTGTATTTGGGGGTTGTCTCTTACGACTTCCCCAACAGCCGTGGATTTGACTGATAATGTCTGTTAGGACTATCCGACTAGTGAGAGAGCTGGCCCTACTCGGGTATTATCTGTGAGCGCCTTCCGGAGACCCAGACCCTGGATGCTGTCTGCAACACTGTGATTCTCTCCGTGGTGTGCCCAGCATGGCTCCAAATTTCCACAATGCCGTAAAGCCTGGGTCTATGCTTCCTGGGGAGAGCAGGGTGAATGCCACTGTGGGTAGCTCAGAGCTCTAACAATACTGGCATGATGTAGAAGGGTTTGTTGTTGCAAAGGCTCATGGGAAAAGGAGAGCTCACTAGTGGTTTTTTAAGTAATTGACTAAAGATGGCAAGGGAGAATAGTCTGGCTTTTCTCTTTATAAAGTACCCCTTCTTTTTTGTTCGAATTTAACACTATTGTTGGCTTCCATAGATTGAGGTGTTATCATGGAAAAGTGTAGTTCTTGAACCCTGATAACTCTGTGCATCTCATCAATAGTTTTGGGGGGTTTCATAACCTTGGACATCCCTCATCCTCTGCAGTCTAGCTCATCCTTACAGGGAACAGAGGGAGAGCATAGGTCCTCACCACATATCCAGAGAAGATGCCTATGGGCCGGATGGGCTTCACCCTGAGGGCTATGTCTCCTTCCTTGCCAGGGGGCAGGACATTGCAATGCTCATCAATCACCTGAAGGAAGAGGAAGATTGATGGATGACCTGCAGAAGAGGAGCTATCCTGAACACTGGTGTGACAGCAGAGGTGATCAAGTGCAGACCATTCTGCTCTCAACCAGAACTGGAAGTCAAGGAAAGCTGAGAGGCTTAAGCTCGGATTCCTGGTCCACCTGCCTGGCTTTGTGCCAGTAAAGCCTCTCAGTATGCCGGACCCGAGGAACCTGGGCGGGTTCAGGAGAAGTGTGTCTCCCGTTATCATCGCCAGCCTTGTGGACACAGAGACTAAAAATCAAAAGTTCTTGTTGTTCTTTTGGGTTTTCGAGACCTGATTTCTCTGTGTATCCGTGGCAGTCCTGGAATTCACTCTGCCTCCCAAATTCTGGGATTAAAGGAGTACATCATCAGTTGTTCGGCTACCTTGACCACTGACCTTCAGCTATGATGCACTAAGCCTGGACATTACTAGCTTCTCTGTAAAACAGAAACGCTTAGAGAGAACAAAGCAGAGTACTAAAAAAGCATTTCTGTAGAGCTACCATCATGAATGACTATGACCGTAGTGAACGACAGCTCATCATCACACGTGATTCAGAATTAGGGAAGTTGTCATACCTCTGAGAAACAGAATTCTACATGTAATCATAGACACATAAAGGTAAACTCTAGTTCTTAGAATTCAGCCCAAGTTAATAAAAACAGAAAAAAACTTTAGTTACAATGCAGTCACTATAATGCTAATAAAAATGAGCATCGTCATTGACAGACAATGCAGAGAGAGAGTGGTAAGTCTACGCTGTCCTATATATCACCGTGGTCCATGCTGCAATGAGTACCGAAAGATCCAGAAGAAATGGTGCCTACCTGTTAAGTTGTAAGCCCAAGTTAGGCCAAGTCACTTCTATTTTTCTTTCAAAATCACACTTAATTTTGTAACTATCCAGGCAATTTGCTAGATAAGTAAAGTGGCTCCTGCTTTCCTCCCTCTCTTCCTTCCCCTTTCCTTCCCTCCTTCCCTCCTTTTCTTTCTCTTTCTTTTCAAAATACAATTTAAAATATTACATTCATTCATGTGCACGTGTGTGTCTGTGTGTGTGCGTGCATGCATGCATGTATGTGTGTGTGTGTATACATGTAGCTCAGAGTTTGTTCTAGCCTTCTACCATGTGAGTCTCGGGGAATCAAACTCTTATACACAGAGCCATCACACTGGCTCCCCTCCTCCTTTGAAACGATTATTTTAATATATCAAGATTAAGTATTGATACTTTTAAGTTTAAATTTGTTATTTTTGAGAATTTAATACACTAGTATTTTATTTAAATCATTTCAATTCTTTCCAACTCCTCACATGTCCCCCTTCTAATCCATGACCTTTTCTTCTTTAACTCATGTTACATACATACATACATACATACATACATACATACATACATGTATGCATGCACCTGTAATAATCACACACATTCTCACACACCGTGCTGAGTCCATTTAGTGTTGCTCAAATATACTTGTGCTTAGGGTTGAGTATTTGGAATTGGATAACCAATTAGGAGGCCTGTCCCTGGAGAACACTGTTTCTCTCACTGCCAGTAGCCACTGATTTCTTCTACTTCTGCGTGTAGGTGTGGAGCCTGGCAAAATCTTCCCCATTTGCGTTGAGTAAGAGCTTATCTTGGCAACTCTATTGCTGAGATTTCTTGGGCACAGCTTCTGCTCTCACGTCTAGAAGATACTATCTCGCAGCATGAACCCTGGTCCCCTGGCCCTGTGTTCTCTTCTGACCCTTCCTTCATGATGCTTCCTATGGGGGTTTCATAAAGGATGTGTCAGCTGGGGTTGGCTACCCCACTGCCAGTTGCTCTCTGCTAACTTGTAGATCTCTGTTTATTGCAGAGAGACAGAGAGAGAGAGAGAGAGAGAGAGAGAGAGAGAGAGAGAGAGAGAGGCTTACCTATGGGTATTGAGATAAGTACTTAGACTGCAATAATGCAGTTAGAAATTATATTGGTTTAGGAAAATGGCAGTAGTAAATTCTCCTCTAGGATACATGTTCTGTCATATAAGCCAGCCATGAGTTTCCTCCTATCGTACCAGAAATGAATTTCCTTCTATCGAGCAGGCCATAAGTCTAATTCTATATTTATTGGTTACCTCTAAGATAAAGCTGTGATTTTTTGCACCATTGGGGATAGCTTGCTGGGCCAGTACTTGTACTTAGGCTTGACAGCCGAGTAGGACTATTGATTCCTTTTCTCCCTGCTCACTGTGCAGAGCACCTTCCAATACTGTGATATTTTCAGGTCATTTCCAGCTCAAAATCTCCAAGTCCTGTGTCCAAAGTATGTGATGCCTTCACCAATAGGGTCTTATCTTCAGGTCTTGGGAGACAACTAAGGGCAATGGCAATAGCTTATATTGTTTGGGGGAGTCTCTTAGAGCATCACCCACAATCAACAACTCTTAGGGAGGTTTGCCATGCCTGGCATTAGGATTTGGGGTTTTGTTAGTCTATATGGCTCCTGGAGGAAGCTTAACACCCATGTAATATAACTTCATTTAAACTATATATGTACACACACAAATACACATGCACACACTCACACACATTGTATGTAGTCTAAATGAACTTATGAAATATTGTGTTTCCCTTTGGCTTTTAAAAACATCCTTAGTATTATTTGTCTCTCTCTCTCTCTCTCTTTTTACCCTCTCTCTGTATGATCCTTCACTTTCCTCCCCATTTTTCTCTTTCCCTCTTCACATCACCCATGTGCTATTTCCCCATTTCCCTCTCTAGAATTTATTCTACCCCTCTGTCTGCATGATCTCTTTCTACCTTCCTGGTTTCTGTGGATACGCCATGCTATGTACTCAAACTGAAAAATTCAGAGCTGGAATCCTGAAATAAGAGAAAGCACAGCATTTGTGTTTCTGGGTCTGGGTGATCGCACTCAGCATACCATTATCTATCCATTTACCTGCAAAGGTCATGATTTCGTTTTTCTTTATAGCTGAAAACTATTTTATAAAGTACACATGTTCATTTTCATTGTCCATTCATCATTTGAAGGGCATTTGCGTTGTTTCCATCCCTGGCTGCTGTAATGAATGCGGCTGAGCAAGTATCTGTGGATGTTGGATCCTTTGTCACATGCCAAGAAGTAGTATAGCTGGGTCACATGACTGATTTACCTCTGTCTTTCTGTGAACTCTCCACCTTGATTTCCAGAGTAGATCACCATTTCACAGCCCTATGAACCATAAACGAGAGTCCCCCTCTCCTTGTGTCCTTTGACAACATTTGTTGCAAGTTCTTTGCTTGGTCCTGGCCATTCTGACTGGGGTGGGATGGCGGTGCAAAGTAGTTTTCGTTTTGTATTTCTCTAATTGCTAAGGGAAGATGAACACCTTTAAATGTTTCTTAGCCATTTTATCGTTTTTTCTTTTGAGAACTCTCTGTTCATATCCGTATGACTTTTAAGATTTTTTTCTATTTCTGTGGAAAATTGGACTGTGTTGCATCTATGAACTGATTTTAGTAGAATGGTCATTTTTACAATATTAATTCTACCAATCCACAAATATAGAAAGTCTTTCCATCTTCTAGTGTCTTCCCCAATTTATTTCTTCACAAATTTAAAGTCTTCGCTGTAGATGATGTTTACTCTTTGGTTGGGTTTATTTCTAGATGTGTCTTTGAGGCTATTGTGAATGGTAGTGCACCCATGATCTCTTTCAGAATGTTCTTTGTACAAAAATATAAGTTGATTTTTGGATCCCCACACTTCACTGAGGTGAAGCTTTCTGGTGAAATTTTGGGGATCTCTTATGTGTAATATATCACCTGAAAATAGGGATAATATGACTCCTCTTTCTATTTGATTTCTTTCTCCTGCTTTATCACTCCAGCTAATGCTTCTAGTTCTCTACGGGCTAGGAATAGAGAGAGTGAACAGCCCTGTCTCATTCCTGATTTTAACCTGACTTCTTCAGATTTGTTTTCACTTAGGATGATTTTCACTGTGGGTTTCCCATACACAACATTCTTTATATTGAGCTTTGCTCCCTCCAGCCCTGTTCTCTACAGAACTTTTACCTTGCAGCTGGGTTGGATTTTGTCAAAGGCTTTTTATGTATTATTGAGGCAATCATGTGATTTTTGTCTTCAGATTAAGTTATATCATTTATTGTATCTATTTAAAGACATACCTGCATGTCTAAAATTAAGACAACTTGATCATTGTGGATGATCTTTCTTATATGTGCCCACATTGAGTTTACAAGTATTTTATTGGGAATTTTGCATTTCTGTTTATCAGGGGGAGTGTTTTTTATTTGTTTGTTTGCTTTTTTGGACCATAAGGATCTGGAGCGTTCACCTGGCATAAGTGATATTAGTTGAACTTAATAAAAACGTAAAAAATAAATACAATTCCACTCACTAACCTCCCCCCCCCCATGGCCCTTAGCAAACCTGTACATCATAATGAGGAATGGCTGTTCCCAGGTAGCCCGGTTTGACCGTCATCGTCCTGGAAACTCTGCAGGTGAGTCCCTGTGGAGAGGTACAGACAGAGCAGCAGGCCTCAGGAAGAACTGCACAGTCAAGGGAAGAAAGGGTTCAAGCAGGTCTCACTCTCCTGCCTTAAGCTGCTCACACCCTCTTTCATCCACCCCCATACCCTGGCTCTCTCCCTTTCTCTGGAACCCCAATCTTAGTGGTGTTACCAAACTGTCCAGGAGACAATCTGGTTACTCCCAAGGGAGAGAATGATTCAATTCTGAAATGAACCTTGCCCTTGGAGAGACTCTGATGCCGAGAAGCCCGCTCTGCGCATGTCCTTCTCTGGGTGGATGGGCCCTTGCTAGGCATGCTTTACAGACCCTGTGCTCCTCACTTGGATTTGCAAGCTCTTCCCAACTGCTCCACATCACTGCCTTCAGCCTGCTGGGGGAACGCTAACGAGGGTGTCCAGAGAAGGAAGACAGGTGAGAGGGCAGAGGGGAGAAAAACACTGAGGGTCACGGGAGTCAGACACTCAGAAGAGGATCAAGTTGAGTTCCAGGCGGTTCTGACGAGTTGCACCGAACACTGCAGATAGAGGCTGTGACATGCTATCCAACTCCAACACCTGTAGGCAGGGATTTGCTGGCTTCTCCCTGCCCCTTGCTTTTGTTTGAGCAGCTGTGTGCCCAGCGCCTGACAGACACATCTGAGAGTTGCAGTTTTCTGCTAACGTTCGACTCCATCACAGAGAAATTCTATGATCGTCTTGTTTGAATGAACAGTTGCTGTGCTTTGGTTGCCATGTTGGTGGTGTTTGAAGGTGGAGCCTCTAAGGAGCCATTAAATTAATACCCTTCTGGTATGGCTGAGTGGTGGCTCTCTTAAGACTGTCAGTCATACAAGGGTAGGTTTCCACTAAGCAAGACTATCCCTGTGTTAGTTTGTTTTGCCACATTTCATTATGAGTTGAAGCAGCATGGGTGTGAGTAGATGCTGACATCCCATCTTAGATTTTCCAGCCCTGAGAGCCACGAGACAAAGTAGCTACTTTTCTTCATAAATCACCTAGCCTCAGGCATTGTTATAGCAACACAGAGCAGACTAAGCCTCTAGCTCTGGACTACTTTTCTTCACAGCTCTTTTCATGGCATCCATTTCTTGATTTTTGTCTTCCACCCCCACCAGAATGCAATCCCCATGAAATCAGGAACACACTGTTATTATCATTTTGTTCCCATAGAGGATCCTCAGTAAGTGTTTCTCAACTAGAACAGTGATACACTATTTCACAATAACCCACTTATTAAACAGAATTTGAAGTCTGGCAGGTGCACTCAGCCCATGGTGCCAGGGAAAGCAGATACCGTTTCTGTCTGGCCATAAAATTCTCTGATCTCCAGTCCCGTCTTGGCTTTCCAGTTCTCCAGAGTCTCTGGCAGAAGGCTCTCCCCTCCACTGAAGCAGCTATGCAGATGTGGGAACTTGTAACTAGAGAGGAGAGTTTATTTTCCTTTAGTTTCATTGGAACTGAAGTCTACCCAAGCTTGGGGTTGAGTTCAGGGTGCTCTGATGATGTCCCTGGTTTTATATAGGCTAAGCATGTCCATCTAAATAGGCATGGGGATGGGTCTAGAGGCTCCTATCAGTCCCCTAAAGGTCTATCACCTGGAAAGATCCTGTTGTAGCAACATCCGGTAAATGAGGGGGGCACCGACCAAGCTGTTGATAGGGTATCTGGAAAGCACCTGTGGGAAGAGAGTCTTCTGAGACACTGCTCATTAGGGCAGATGCCAAACTCACTAACACACATTACCATGACAGACACAACTTCTCAAGTTTTAGTCATCCAGACTAAATTCCTAGCCTGTCGTGTTTGCTTGAGACTGAACACAGGTGATTCTCATGTGTCTGTAAGACACAACAGAAGAACGAATGCAGGTAGAAGAAGATCCAGGATTCACTTGGAACACTTGTCCAAACGTGGCTGGCTCCCCCCACTCAGTTTAGGACTCATCCTTTTAACCCCTCACCCCACCCTACCAATGGGTACCCCTCAGTCATTGGTGGTAGGGAGGATAGACCAGATGCTTTGGCAAATGATCTTGGGTCAGTGCCTTCACCTTCTGGAGCCAGGTTTATTATAGGCCGTTTCCTCGAAAATAACTGTGAGAGACTACAGTGGTCAAAAGTGGCTGCAAGCACCTCTCAACATTTCCAAAGCCGTGTTCGAGGAAGGCCCGGATGTGAATGCCAACTCTGGACCTGAGCCTTGCAGGGTTAAGTGGACTGCACGCATGTGTTGGCCACATGACAGGCAACACTGTTTCTCTCACTGCACTTGTTTTGTGCGGAACTGAGCAGTGATTTAAGCAAAAGTCTAGGGGGAGAAAAGAACATGAAAGTCTCACACAATAGTTTCCTGCATGTGTAACTCTAGCTACTCCTGTATTATAGCTTTGCAAACAAAATGAAAACATATTTGTTGCTTGTGACTATGCGGTAATAAGCAGCTATAGCATGTGGATTTTTCTTACTCTACAGGAAAACAAAAAAAATCTTATTTTCTCTTTAGAATTCCTCCCAGGTAAATTCCCCAAACTGGACATAAACCAAACACACTTCCATAATATGATAAGAAAGAAATGATATCACATTCTTAGGATGGGATACCTGTAGGGCAATTTAAAAAACAAACTTCATACACATGAAAAAAAAATATGGGTTACCCTCATAGAGAAATTCACTGAGTGAGAAACAAGACACTAAAGATAATACATCCTACACTTGAATTAAAAAAAAGACAAGAGGTGAAATTTAAGCTGGTAGAAGTTAAAAGAGATTTTAACTTCTGAGGCTAGGCGATGACCAGGGGAGGCGTGGGCACCTCCTACAGCTATGGAGATGTTGGAAGCTTCCGTGTGGTGACGACGGTGTGTCTGATATTAACCACACATTCCACATGCTGGATGGACCCATAGGATAGATCTCTAACCCTCATGTGGTTGAATTTGAAGATAATGATGACAAAGTAATGAAAAGGTTCACCAGTAACACCTTAGTTATTACCATAAAGAAGGGACTAGACTGTGCATCCTCCTCCCCTCCTCCTTCCCCCTCTTCTCTCCCCCTCTTTCTCCTTTACCTCTCTCCCTTCTTCCCTCCCTCTTCCCCTACCCACTCCCCTTCCCTTATAGCCATAGGTGATAGCAAGAAGGTGATGCCTACAAGGTAGCAGGAGATTACTTGATAAGTAGGTAACCCTCTTGGCACCCTGATCACCTTGGATTTCACCCTTCAGAACCGTGCAACACACCTGCTGTGTGAGTGTTCCAGGCTTCGGAATTTCTGTGCTGTAGCCTAAACTGACCGAGGCACCGTCCGACCCAAGGGAATTATTTACCAACTGTACATTAGAATAGCAGCATTCCATACATTGTAACCATCATCTTGCAAGTAAATGAGGAAATAAGACATACACACTCACAGGCACACATACTCACATAGGCATAGATGCACACACGCATACGCATAGACACACATGCATGCCCTCAGACACACACACACATACATGCATCAGCCCTTTATCTGAGATCTGATGGCTAGAGGAGTGCCTCTTAGTTGAGAGAACACCCACTGAGTCCCGCCTCCTGAACACATATGCCATTCATCAATGGACGTGTCCATCTTTCTCCCTAGACCATGAGCTTTGTTACATGGGTGCAGACTTCCATCTTGCTTCCCGAAGTCTGCTGCTCACCCATGTGGCTGGGCTTAAGCAGAAGTTTTATGAGGGGAAACTAACTGGAAGAACCTAGAGTGTGCAGACTCAGAGCTGACTCTGACCAACCAATGAGAATGGTCCTGTCTTACCTTTAGAACAGTTTGTGGATCAAACTCTGGCAAAAGATGGACAAATATGCATGCTCCCAAAGTCCAAGGTTCCAGAAGCGAGGTTAAAATGTTCACTATCCAACCTGTGTCTGAGATGGTCCATACTGTGTCAGAGACATCCAGGCCTGTCCAGGTGCTGAGAACACAGAACATTGGCACACAGAGCTGTGTACACTGGAGGTATAGTGCTGGAGGGGCTGTGTGAGGGAAGGGTTAGGTGTGGGCATGCAACGTGTGTGAAGAGGTGGCAGTGCTTTAGAAAGCGTGACCCTGGAAGACACAATAGACAGCTAGGTTTCACTCTCACCTTATTCCCAATGCTAGGACAGTGGCTGATGGGTGGAATCACCCAGGAAAAGCTTACTAACAAAAGGCATCAAAGTGAACATTCTGGCCTGTATGTGTTTGTGTTGATGTGTGCATGAGTGTAAATGTGAGTGTGAAGGTGTCCTTATCCATCACTCCCCACCTTGTTCTTTGAGTCAGAGTCTCTCAGGGAACCTGAGGCTTGCCGATTGGCTAGACTGGCTGGCCAATGAGCTCCAGAGAGGCCCTCTTGGCTGTGGTCCTCTAGTACTGGCTTTACAGTTATGCACTACCACTGGCTTCTATGTGGGTGCTGGGGAATCTGAGCCCAGATCCTCACACTTGTACCAGCATTTTGCCCACTAAGCCATCTCCCCAATCTCTAAGTCTACATGCTGACAGCCTTGTCAGGTTCAAGCTTGGCTGAGCAAAAAGGCCACTGGTTCTCTTTGCTTCAAGTATCATGGACTGCCTGAGCGCAGCTACAGTTATTCCTGTACAGGAAAAAACGCATTTCCTTTCACACTCCAGGGAAGACACATCCACCCTATGTTAAAGCAAAGATGTTGTAGGATAGACAGAAAGGACACACAAGCATACACACACACACACACACACACACAGATACTGAAGATGATTGATCTCTTTAGGAAATTAATTATATTGGGACAAAATTGGGATGGTGGTAGTGAAAAATAAAATCTTAGTTTTATTACATGTTCTTTTAGAATTTGTACTTTATTACAGCCTATCTATTACTTTACTTTGAGTGTGATTATGTTCATGTCTGTGCATGTGTATGTTCATGGGAAGAGGTCACACATGTTTCTCGAGGCCAGAGGGGAACATCAGGTGTTGTACACAGGTCCCATCTACCTTGGAGGTTTCCAACCAGTCTAAGCTTGCCAGCCTCTGAGTCTCAGGAGCCACCAATCTCCACCTCCAGGATTTAGCATTCACTTGTGGGCCACCAAACTCTACTTTTTAAAATCTGAGTTCTGGGAACCATGCTCAAGTTCTCTTGCTTGTGTGACAAGGACTTTAAGAAGCTATACTCCTCACTTTCAGTTTGACCAGCTTAGTTTTCTGATACAGTTTCAGAGGCAGGACACTTACGCTTTAAAAAAGTTTTTAACACTGCAATATTTCTCATTCTAATAATAAAACTGCCATCGCAGGAAGGATCTATGGGAAAAGAACACAAAGATCTTAAGCTAATAGTTCATTGAGACCTTGGCATTGTGCCTTCTGATTCCACAGGTCATAGTGATCTAGTAATGAAATCAGTGCTGTTTTGAGTCCTGTGTTTGAAACTCCACTAACTCAGTTCCATTTCATCCCTCTAATGATACTTTTCATACAAATGAATTTGCAATGTAATTTGTTGCTGACAAAAATAAAAAATGTCTTCCTGGATGTCATCAAAGCAAATTGCCAGAACCCCAGAGACAAGGTATAGAGCATTTGGGAAGAGGACACCTGTACCCCGTTGCTATTCAGTCATCCTAGTGGTGAGGCTTGAAACAAGAAAGAGGTTTTGAGACCTTGTGTTGTCCGAAACAGAGACGTCACACTGTCTTGCCTTTTTAGCCTCCCTCCTCAGTTGTCTCTCTCAACATCTCCAGGGCAAATCAGACCTGACTCCAGGACGGTTGTCATGAATCCATAGAAGGAAAAGGCTCAGCTTACCCAGCGTCCATCTTGGCCTTGATGCCCAGGCTGGAATGGGAGTGTTCTGCCATCTTGGGAGGGCCGCTGGTCCCACTGGTGAAGTAAATGGCAGCTGCCTCATGGCTTCCAGTCTCCACACAGTGATGAGTGGTGGATGCATCCCTACGGAGACCAGAAAGTCAGCGTCTCAGTTCTAGCCTGGATACTGATGATCCTGTGGCCCATCCTCCCTCCCTAGCCCTCAAGCTGACAAGGGCAAGTCGGATGACCTGTCTCTGAAGGGAAGCTCTTGAGTGGTGAAATTCATGGATTCCTGAATGATTCAAAGTTAGCACTTTGTTAAAGAGTTGAGTTTCTGCAAGTTACTTAACTTCTGCACATCTCACTTTCCACGTCTGTGAAACGGGGTCAAGAAAACCTAACTCAGGGAATTAAAAAAAAAAAAAAGGTAACCCTACAATAAAGAAAGCAAGAACATGCTTAGCAGAGACTTAATATTAATACAGTTGTTGTTGGGCCCCAGCCTGATACAGAAGTTGAGCAGCTAGTTTTCCAAGTGATTAAAAAAAATGATTATTTATTTTTATTTTATGTGATGGGTGTTTTGCCTGCATGGATGTATATGTACAACTTGTGTATGTCTACCGTGGAGGACAGAAGAGGGCATCAGATCCCCTGGACCTGGAGCTATAGACAATTTGAGGCCACCATGCAGGTGCTGGGAGCAAAAGCCACATCCTCTCCAAGAGCAGAGCCAATCCACATGATTTCTTAACACCCACTTTTTTTTTCCTCGGGAAGAATCTAAAAGTCTCAGGCAATTTCTTTAGTGTCTTCAACTGGAATCTCTAAAAGCTGGTATTTTATTGTTTGCTTTTATTGAAACTATTTTAAAGATCGTGACAGTAGAAAGGAAATTAAAAAGAAAAAAGACTTTATGTTCTCCCTAAATGTTTCCTAAGGCACATGTCTCCAATGGAAGAATTTCAGGTACATGGCAGGAATCCCACTTATCCAGTCAGTCTTGCTATGAAAGACTTTGGCCCTGGACCTTCTGGAAGGACCACTGTTCTGAAAAGCATCTCTTAGGGATATAGAATGCGCAAAGAAGAGCACATCAGACATCTCTTAGGGATTGCCTCGTGTACTCTTGGATTCACCTATGGCTGTGTTGAATAGCTTGTTGTTGTTTCTAGGTGCAAGGGATTCACTTTAACCCCAGGATATGTGTGTGTGTGTGTGTGTGTGTGTGTGTGTGTGTGATGTATTCATCTGAGTGTTGCTAAATATACAAATGCAGGTGAATACTCAAAGGCCAAAGCAGGGAGTCAGGTGTCTCTCTCTATTGCTCTCCACAATGTTGTTTTGAGGCAGGGTCTCTCAATGACCTTGACTGTTCGCTTTTAGGCAATGATAGCCTGGCCTGTGAACTTTTGGGCTCTGTCTGTCCTTACCTCCCGGGGATGGGAGTTACAACTATATGCAGCCAAGCTGGCTTTTTACGTGGGTGTTGGGGATTCAAACTTGTGTATCATGCTTGCATAGAAAGTATTCTTATCTACCAAGCCTTGTCCTCAGACCCTTAGTCTCCTAGAGTTTTTATTTTATTTTATTTTAATGCTGCATGGCATGGCACTCTGGGCCTGCAAATGTAAAAGCCCAGAAGTGTGCGGTAGATAATGCCCCTTAAAACCATCAACAAATGAAGATGCCAGTCCTATGTTAGAAATCCTGGGGGCATTCTATGTGCTCTGAGAAGGTTTCCACATGCTGGCCCCACCTGCCTTTGGAATGAGTCTATGCTAAACACTCCCACTTGCTCTTCTTTCATCTCTCTCTCTCTCTCTCTCTCTCTCCCCCTTAGTCTTACACTGGACACAACACTGTACAACAACTACTAGGTTGGATTTCCACTTTGGATGCAAACCCAGGCTGAGGCGGAAGATACTCACTTTAGCAATGCCTTGAAGTTTAGCCATCCTTCTCGCTTTTTTTCAGACACCAGCAACTTGATTTTCAGAAAAGAGCAGTCAGGGGCCACAGCGTCCACTTCCTGGGCCACCTCGTCCCCAGCCACAATAGCCCTGGCCTTGGATGACTGCAGCCTGTAGAGTATATCTGTGGCTCTCATCTGTATGGTTCCAGGCATGAAAACAAGGCCTGGAGAAACCAAATGGTTTAAAGAGCGCTAGGAAGGGAACTGTCACCTTCCCCAGAGACGAGCTGTGGATAGCCATGAAGGCTAACAGGAAGCGCAAGGAGGATGTAAACAGCTAGGGTGCCCAACAGAGAAGAGCAAGTCAAACGTGCACAGCTGTGAGGACCAACAGGGAAGGGCAGATCGGCTGTGAACAGGCATGGGGGCCAGCAGGAAGGGCAGGTGGGATGGACACATCTATGAGAACCAACAGAAAGGGCAGGTGGTGTGTGAGGACCAGTGGGTAGTAACGACAGAGTGTTCTTTGGGGGTTTCCTCCAGGAGAAGAGGCTGCAGTTCTCTGCCCTCCATTTCCTTCATAAGCGAGGGTGCCCAGCCAGTGTGGACAGTTACTAACCAGTCCTCATGCAGCCCAGGGTCACCAGCCACCACTCCGGGACTCGGGGAAGCACCACGGCCACGCGGTCGCCACGCTGCAGGCCACAAGCCCCTGAGAGAACATTGGCTGCCTGTTGGCTGACTTCGCTCAGTTCTCTGAAGTTCCACTTTAGTTCTTCCCCACTGCCGCTCACCCACCATAGGGCTGGACCTGGGGGCCTCTTGCCAGCCTGAAGAAAGAGAAGGCCCATGTGGACACAGCATGCAGGGCACAGGGACATGGCAAATAAAACAAACTGCAAGTCTTGAGGGGTAGGCTTGTTGATCCACACACTATTTAAAAGTGTTGAAACAACCTCCCACCCACAGTTTATTTTAATGTGGGTTAGGTGTATCAGTAGTATCTTAAAACAGAGACTTTAATATGCGTGTTTGAAAAGGTAACAGCTAAAACACATATATTACTGCGAGAGGTAATTTTGATCGGTGGCTGGATTAGCTTGAGGATGCTCAAGAGATGAGTAGGGTCTACCTCTTGGGTATGCCTGTGCGCTTCCAGAGCTGGGCAGATGGTGTGGGCTCTGAGATCATCAATGGACTAATGGCTTGGTGGATTCCGAATGTGGTACCGGGAGATGGTGAAAAGCAAGAATTGGGTCCTGGGTGGAGGGAGGGAGCTGGGAGATTCCTTGCGGGAGGAGTCTTGCCCAGGACTTTTTCACTGTCATGACTTTCATTGTTTCCCCCTTGATTATTATTAGTTTCCATTTTGCTTGTTTATTTTTTTTTATTTATTTTTATTGAGAAAGAATTTCTCTGTGTAGTCTTGGCTGTCCTGGTCTCACTCTGTAGACCAGGCTGGCCTCGAACTCACAGAGATCCACCTGCCTCTGTCTCACCGAGTGCTGGGATCACAGGCGTGTGCCACCCATACCTGGCTTGTTTGTTTATTTACTTATTTCTTTCATTGATTACAAATTGAGAATCGTAATGGTAAGATCTTCCCTCAGTCTTCCAAGGAGGAAAAACTAAAAAAACATCAAAGAACCAGCTGAGGAGACCATTCTGTCAATAAAGTATTAGTCTCGCAAACTGTAGGACCTGAACACTCCCCAGAACACAAGGTAACAAAATGCCAGTTGTGGTGACACACCCCTGCACTGGAAAGGTGGAGACAGGCAAGATCCCCGAGGCTTACTGTCCAGTCAGTTGAGTGCACTTGATGAGCTTGTGGTCTGTGAGAGACCCTGCCTCAAAAACCAAAGTGATGGAGCTGAGGAAGGGCACCTGAGGTTGACCTCTGCCCTCGACTTGTACTTGCACAGATAAACTTGTGCACGGAAATGTGCGTTAGTGCAGACAGGTGCAAAAATACACACAAAGACAAAGAGACTTCTGTTGTTACTGTTAATCCTCACCCTTGTCGCACAGTTCCTCCCTCTGGATTAGAACAGTCTCTTTGTGGATGGACAGGAGGGATTCAGGGGGTCATGAAACTAACAAAATGAACCATGAAGCCCAAGCCTGCAAGATGCACAAGGCAATGAGAATCTTAAAAAAAAAAAAAAAAAAAAAAAAAAAAAAAAAAAAAAAAAAAAAACAACAACAACAACAACCAGTCCGGGTTGCTATAGTTGTTATATATGTAGTAAATGGGTGGGTGCTGCAGTTGCCTAAAATTGTGTAAGGAGAAGCAATGATAGTGCTGAGGAGTGCTTCTCAGTACCTTATGCTCCTGTAACTCTTTACCTACAGCCCTGTAACTAACCCTGACAGGAGCATTGCTCTACCAACCTTGACTTGGGTCTCATCAATTCCTTGGTCTGTTATTACACTGTTTGTCTGTAAGAGTTCCACCTTCGACATAGAGAACGATAAAATCCCCATGCTGAGGTTGTGTCACAGTGCCAGGACCTCAGAACGACAACCCTGGATAACCCTGTTTGATGCCCTTGCTGGTTAAGTCCAGACTTTCTGCGGCCTTAGCCCAGATGAGCCAGTCTATCCTCTAGAACCATGTTTCACATGAAGGCGGTGGTGGGCTGGTAGCAAATGAAACTCGTAGATGGATAAGAAACTCGGAGGTTTCTGTGTCTCTATCCCCACACTCCCACATCTCTTATCCTGAGGCCCTGTTTATACTTTCATACCTTACTAGCACATCGGAGGCAGAGGCATGAGGCCTAGAGAGGACTGGCTCAATCTTGACTTGTTGATTTCCTCCTGCGATCATGCTAATCATATTGGCCAAACATCTTAGTATTTCTCTTAGATACTGGCTTCAGCCACTATCTCTTGGTTCCACTGACTCTGAGCTTGTGGTGACCCAGGGCATCACAACAGCTGAAGTGTGTGACAGAGGCTACACACTTTGTGACCCACAGGAAGCAAAAAGGGAAGCAGGGACCACAGACTAAACAAACATCAAAGTTATGTCCTGCTGTCCTATTTCCTTAATCCCATGATTTAAAGCCTCTACCACCTCCCAAACCATCGTCACCAGCTGGAGACCAGTCTTTAAACTGAGCCTGTGGGGGCACTACTGTAACGGAGGCTAAGACTTCAGTAGGTCCTCAGACCTTAGCACAGTTGACTCCATGATAGAAGTGCCAATTAGGCTGTAAATCTCAGCATGTAGACAGAGCCACCTGCAGCAACTAAAACAAAGGCCTAATCCATCCAAAGCCCATACAGTTCTGGGAACGTCTCAAAATATACTAACCTTACATTTTAGCTTCTGTAGCTCCTCTTCTGGCTGACTGTTCTTGGTAACTGAAGTATGTCAACATAGAACATGATTTGTGTATGTAAAAGCTCACCCTGAGAAAGGCTCAGTGCTACCCTGGCATCTCAACCACCCAGTGTGGTTGCGGCTGGCTAATAAAGACTTTCTCTTGGCTTAAACCCAGCCGAACAGTCTTCTCTGGTGAATACCCCACAACATTTCTGAAAGCCCCAGGGAAATCCCAGAGACCAGACCTTAGGGGTCTCAGAGCATCTCAGAGTAAGGAAGAGTGCTGTTTCAGAAGACTCCTGCGGCTGAGTATTCAGCCTGAGATGTTTCAGGTCCCCAGAGCTCCATTTGATCCATTGCTGCCTATCGCTTCAGAGGAGTCTGACACCTTCACTGCCCCCCCCCCACACACACACAAAGAAACAAACTGGAAAATCACCTGCTCTGCCACCTCCAGAGGCAAGTCTGGTTAAGGCTTCTTCTGTTTGGACACATAGGAGAGGGCTGGGATCCATCTGACATCACTGGATTCTCTTGTTTGATCAGGTGTATGAGTGTGTAGTGGCCACCCCTGGTTGTCTTGCATTTGTGTGTGTGTGTGTGTGTGTGTGTGTGTGTGTGTGCAGGCGCGTGTGTGTGCATGTCTCTGTGTTTCTGTCAGTTTGCTCCCCTGTGGTGACCAGTGGCTTTCTCTGGTGTGAGAACCCCTTGCCTCAAGAACTGTGCCCCATCCTTTTGGGGAGCCAAATTCTTTGGGCTCTGCCAGGTCACTCAGAGAAACTGCCCAAACCCTCTGCCTGTCCCACTCTGGGGGCAGGAGTCCTCGCTTGTTTTGTAACCTGGACTCCTGCCCACAGTCAGGGTTGGTCCCTGTATGGAGGTGGGGAGAGGCCAGGCCTCTCACCCAGGGGCCCCTGCCACTTAAGTGAATGCATGCAAGGAGGGGGGGAGCTCCCTCAGGTGAGCACGCACTCTGCTCTGTGCCTGCTCTAGAGAAAAGTTCCCCTGGGCTGAGTTAGAAGGAAAACAGAAAGACCCATTCCTTGTTTATGATTTGTATCTCTTTTTAACCAATGATCTGTAAAACCCACCATTCTCTAAAAACAAACAACAAACAAAAACACCACTACCCCCCCCCCCAAATGTCTCTGGGTTTGGCAAGGGGATCGCTGCTAGACAACACAGCTTGGACAAAATGGATTTTTCCTTCTGTCTAACACAGACCAAGGAAATTTTAAGCAAATTTTAATAGGACCTTTTTAAAAGATTAAAGACAGCTGCTAAAAAGATCTCCTTTGTCATCCATGTATCTCCAGATGTTAAAAAAAATTTAAACCCATGGGCAGGTCCTAGTTGCTGAAGGTAGCTTAAAGGATGTTCAACAGCAGCGAACTGATTGGGACAAGACCTTTTGCGTAAACGCAAAGCCACCATCACCTTCTCTGATGATGAGACGCAGCTAGACTTACAGATGCCAAGCAAAATTTTAGTGTCTCACTCTCACCCGAGGGATTAAAGAAACCGATCGCTCAAGACTGGCCCAACACCAAGCTCCTAGAATTGTTCAGCCGCTTCTGTCCAGACTGAACAATACCTGGTGACCCATAAACAAAAGGGCAAATTGCAGCTCATATTGCTTAACTTGAAGAGACAGGCATCCTGGTGCCCAGCCAGCCAGACACCTTGGAATATGTCTCTCCTGCCTCTGAAGACACCTGATACCTCTGGTTCTCATGAGTCTGTTACTTCCAGGGAAATTGCCTTGGACCTGAGAGGTGTGTTTCTCAGCCTCCCGTTGGCAGAGGGGAGTTAACCCACCTTTGCTTTTAAATGGACAGACCTGGTGGGAGGTTATGGTGGGTAATGTACCTGGACCAGGTTGCTCCAGGATTTAAAGACACTGAATGAAGACTTCCTGCCATTCTGTCAGAAGTTTCCTGAGAAAACAGATTATAAAAGGGCCACTGAGGGATGGCTGCCAGAGCTGAAGACCTTGGGCTACAGAATGTCAGCTAAGAAAGCTCAGGTTTGCTCATCAGAAGCTGCCCATCTTTGCTACCAGCTGAGGGGAAGCAAAAGGAAGCTGTCTCAGAGTGGCGCTGTTGCCATTCTTCAGATCCCAACTCCAAAGACTAAGAGACAAGTTCAAGAGTTCCTAGACACAGCTAGATACTGTTCCCTCTGTATGCCACAGTCTGTGGAAAGAACAAGACCTTTATACACCGACACAAAGGAGGAACGCTAAAACTGCCAATCTGGACTGAGACTAAACAAAAGACACTTGACGCTTTAAAAATAGCTCTGGCCTCTGCTCCAGCCCTAACATTTCCAGACAAAGGGGGTTTTAAACTTTGGGGCTATAGAAATGCCCTGTGATGACTAGATCCTGCAGCCACAGGACTGCCCACCTGTTTAAGAACTGTGGCGGCTACTGCTAGTTTAATAAAAGAAAGCAGACAAGGTAACTCTGGGTCGAGAGCTTATGCTCACAACACCCCACGCATGGTTGAGGCCCTCCTCTGAGGAGCACCTGCTGGCTGTCTAGTGACGTTGTGACCCAGTACCAGGCCCTTCTCCTGGTCCACCCTCAAGCCCAGTTTGAGAAACTCAGCACCATCAATTCTTCTGTTCTCTTGCCTGATGACAGAGGTGCTCATCCGTGACTGCCAGGAGATGAAAGATAAAACCAGGTATGTGAGAGCTACTATAGTTACTTTAACTGAAATGATGTGGGCCCAAGCCAGGTACCTCAGAGAGCAGGTACCCAGAGAGCAGAACTGGTTGATCTGACTCAGGTTCACAGATGGGGAAAAGAAAAGTGCACCACCGTATACACAGACCGTCAGTCAGTATGCCTTTAGTACCAGTCATGTCCACCGTGTGACGTATGTATGTATGTATGTATGTATGTATGTATGTATGTATGTATGTATTAGTATTAGTATTATGGGCTTCTCACTGCTGGACAAAAGGATACTGAAGAATCTTGCCACCTTGCCTCCCTCCAGAGGCTATCTGGCTTCCTCTAGAAATTGCTGTCCACCACTGTCAGGATGCTGACCTGGCTACCTGACAAATAGCTCTAAGATCAGTGGGGCCTATTAGTGTTCTGGTGACATATCATGCCCCGGTGCTGCCCGAGGCTCTATGGCAAAGAAGAAGTGGACAGCTCAAACCCACAGGTTGATGGAAGACACCAGAGGGAAAGATCATTCTCCCAGAAACAACTGGCAGGACTCTGGTTAACTGACCTTCACCAGGCTACTCATCTGGGGTCCACAAAACTTTCTGAGTCACTCAGACCAAGGCATGTCATAACTAGACGAGACAGCCTAGTGTGGGATGTCTCAGCCAGATGCCAGTTTTATAGTCAAGTAAATTCAAAACAGAGAGCCCTTGCCCAGGAACGGGTCCAGATGAGAGACCAACATCCTGATGGACTCTGGAAAAACTGACCTCACCAAGACCTGGACTGCTGGGGAGGATAAAAATACTTGGTAATTTTTAAAAGCACCTTTTAGGGTGAGTAGAAGTGTTCCTCACCTGGACTAAAACTGTTTAAATACTAGCAAAAGAACTTCTCCAGGAACTGCTCACCAGATTTGGCCTCTCCCTAGCAAGGCAGTCCAGATGAGGCCTGTTTTTCGTAGCCGAAACCTCTTAGTTAATGGCTAAAGCTTTAGAAATATATTAAAAACTTCATTGTACATATAAACCTCAGAGTTCTGGCCAGTTAAAAATTAAGCAGAGCATTAAAAGAAACTTTAACAGAATTCTCACTAGATACCAGCAATGGATGGACAGGCCTCCTTCCTTTGCTTTGCTTTGGCCTGCTGCATCCCCATATAGGGAGGAATTTACTTCCCTATAGATTACATTTGGAAGGCCTCCCTCTCTGCTTCCCAGGCTCTGAGACAAACAGTTGGAGGAACTCTCTAACCATTCCTTTCTCAAGTCGCTATAGGCGTCCCAGTTCTCCATGCAGGCTATTTATTAGACTATCGGAGAGAGCCAGCCAACCTCTGAGTCTACCACCATGCTGTCTGGGTCACGCAGGCAGGCAAAGGGGCACTCAAACCACCTTGGAAAGTTGGAAAGGACCTTACAGGGTGATTCTCTCCCCTCCTGTGGCTGTGAAGATAGCTGATATTCCACCATGGATCCACCTCAACCAGGTCAAGAAAGTGAAAACCAAAGATGCTACTGCCAAACAGACTGTCTCCGTACTTCAATGGGTCTCTGGGCCCTTCCACTCCCTGCCTCTCTCTATCTCTTTCTGAGACTTGTGTTTGGTATAAATACAGGGTTATGGCCCAACCCCTACAGCCCTCAGGCCTGGCCCTGGGAACTGAGGAAAACACATACAGGGAAGATAGCTGGTTATGCGTCAACACCCAGCCCCTGTACTGTACAGCAATGGGAACTAACAAGACAGTCAGCTTATTGACTGTGGGTGGTCCAAATTAATGTTACAGGACTTATAAGGGACTAAAACTTGTCTAATATCCAAAGCCTTTTACCTAGCCACGTTCCCTTATTCTGATGGCTGTTATTCTACCCTACGGGTTAATTTGTATGGAAAATAATAATATCACTGGGCCTCTGAGACTACTTGACGGGCATGTACAAATGGTTTGACTAAATGTGCCTCTTCTGATGTTTTTCAAAGAAAGTATACAGGTTGGTGAAGACCTAGAGTTATTAAAAGTTTCAGTTTCTGAATTAAAATAGAAGTTAGATTCCCTTGCAGAAATGGTCCCACAAGATTGGAGAGGCTTAGACATCTCATGAGATAAAGAAAATTGTGTCTGGCTTTGAGAGAAACCTGTCATAGCTGTGCTAATTGATCAGGGGTAATCAGAGAAAAATCTTGGTTGGAAAAATAATTGGTACCAGTCTTTCTTCTCTTGGTCTCCCTGACCAACTACTCTGCCATCAGCACTGGCTGGGCCTTTAATTCTTGTTCTGATTAACTTCAAGGCCCTGCATCTTAAACTAAAACAGGATGAGTCTATGTTTTGACTCATTCACTAAGACCAGTGGGGGATGTAATAGTGCCTCAGACCTTAGCACAACTGACTCCATGATGGAAGAATGTAAAACTTGGCACATAGACAGAACTGCCTGCCAAAAGTAAAACAGTGGCCCAATCTATTAGAGTCCATATAGTTCTGGGAGAGTCTCAAAATGTACTTGATCTTTACAATTCCATACATGCCTTATGGCTGGGCCCTGGTTGCCAAAAACAAGGGCATTTAAAAGATTCTGGCATTTAGAAACAGCGAAAACCCAGGGAGTCAGACTCTATTGTATTTTTTAGCTTCTGGAGTTCTGCTTCTGACTAACTGTTCTTGTTAACTGAAGTATGTCAACCCAAAACATGGGTGTTGTGCTCAGATGTTCACTTTGAGAAAGGCTTAAGTGTTACACTGGGATCCCAAACACCCAGTGCAGTCGCTGGCTGGCTAATACAGACTCTTTATTGACTACTCTTGTCTGAGTAGTCTTCTCTGGTGAATGCCCTACACCACATGTGCAGTCAGTCAATACGAGTTCACCCACCCATTCCATCTATGCCCCAGCACACTGCTCTTCCTTTCATGCTGGGAGGTCTCAGCAGAGCATGTGTTTGTTTGGGGTTACTAGTTTCTCCACCATGTGCTATGTGCCCCTGACCCTCTTTTAAAAAATATTTGTAGTAGCATGTATTAATCATGCACAACCAAAGGTTTTTATTACAACATTTTCAGTCATGTTCACCCTCAACTCATCTTCTCCTGTTTCCCTTCACCACTTGCCACTTCTCTTGATATCCTTCTTCCTCCCAACTGCTTCCTCTTCTACCTTTATGGTGTGTGTGTGTGTGTGTGTGTGTGTGTGTGTGTGTGTCCTAGTATGTTTTTAGGCATATGAGGAAAGGTTTGTTTATAGGCAAAGGGGCACATTGCTGGTGGCTACACTACTGAACAAAATGTCTCTCCATCCTTCATTAACGTTTAACTGACTACAAATCCTCTGCAAGAGGTGGGGCTCCTTAAGCTGCTCCCTATTCCATGCAACCTAGCACAGGTAATTACAGTTGCTGTGGATTCCAGAGGGCAACAGCCATCTCATGCCCAGAAATTACATTTTCCACACACCCACCTCTTACATTCTTTCTGTCCCTTCTCCCACTCTATTCTCACGGGGGGGGGGTGTTTGAAATGTCTTATTTAGGGATGAACATTCAACGACCACATATTCTCAGCACGTTGACCAGTTGTGAGTCTCTGCAGTTACCACTGACCACTGCAAGAAGACGATTTTCTGATAGAAGGCCGCAGCTCTTCTATCTTTCTTCCACCCTATGCTGCTTCAAGAAAGCTGAACATCCTGCTCACGGCTTCTTATGGTATCAGAGACATAGTAAGCATGCAGTAAGTTTCTACTGAACAGATTGATAAATGAAGTTGTTCAAACTGTGCCATTCTGTCTCCCGTTACCTTCTCCAAGTTGGCCCAGTGATCTATCACATCACTAGCGAAGTTGTACTTGGCAGGCACTTCCTGGTGGCCCCACTGTATGGGCATTAGTTTCTTGACATTAATATGGAAAGTACGGCTGGACCTCTCACTACCCCAGAGGGTGAAAAGTCTTGGAATTTTCCATAGCCAATGCATGGTCGGAGCTGTGAAGGAAAGGAGGAGATATAGGTGAGCTCTACTTTACTAGAGTGTGACACTCATCATCAGATAGTGCGGAGAGCTGTCTCTGGCTTCCAGGGTTGATTGGTTGTGTTTGTGCATGAATTAACTTGATACTGAATGCCTGGTTCAGTCTCCTTCTATGAGCCAATCTCCTGAATTATCCCCCCACCAGCTCCTGCAACAGTTCTGGGAATGTCCAATCCCAGGTGATGTATCATTTTAGCCCAAGGCATGAGTGGTAAGTTGTTTTGTCACTACGATTACTCGATTTTTTTCCCTGTGGTAGGCTCGTATCACCCCCTCCCTGCCACGTGCCTTTGCAGTGCAGAGAGAAGGATATAGGGAGAGCCTGTATTCCCCCGGAAGGACTTTAGCTTTCTGGTGAGATATGTTCTGGTTAGTAAGATGAGTGTGGGCCAGTCAGATTTGCATTTCCCCCTCCACAGTGTGTGGGTGTACATTCATGTCGTATACACGTGCATGCACAGGCGTACCCACGAGCGCGTCCGTGAGTCCGTGCGGAGGCCAGGGGAAGACACTGAGTGACCTGCTCTATGTCCTGTCCCCCTGTGACAGGGTCTCTTAATTGGATCTAGAGCTTGCCATCTCTCAGCTAGGCTTGTTGACCAGAGAGTCCCAGTGATACTTTTGTCTCTGCTGCCCTAGCGCTGGGCTCACAGATGCACAAAGGTTTTCACATGGGCGCTGGACTTCTGAACTCAGCTTCTCATGCTACTGAAGCAAGTGCTCTTACTCATCTCCCTAGCACCATGTTGGGGGCTTTCTATGAGAACTACATATCTCGGAGAAGAACTAACCTTCTTCCTGGGTCTCAGAATGATGATGTAAGGAACTAAGCTAAGGCCAACCTGTCCATTTCCAACCTACAGCTTTTTTTTTTTTTAACTAAGCTTTGTAGACACTTCTTAGATCAAGGTTTAGAGCTATGAAATGCTTGGGATGTTTCTTAGTACACCAGCTTCTGACTAATACACTAATTCTTTGGAGTGAGCTCTGATTGACATACCTTAAAATCTATGCTCATATGGTATAAGATCTCACACAAGCAATCACTTACAGGATTATAGCTGTTGTAATTATTGTTTTCAGATTCATTGGCTCTAGGGAAAGGTGTTCCAAGGCTGTATACACTGGTCTTTGAATTCTGTCATATGCTTTTGGATGAGACAGCAGATTTTTTAAGCCTAATGACCTTTGAGCTAGGGAATCCAGCCAGCAATCTATCCCATTGGCTGGATTCCGAGCCCCCTTGGTCCAGACAGAGGCCATTAGAATGCTTATCTGCGGCACTTACATGTTTTCTCCTGATTTCTCAAAGAAGAAGAGAAGAGAATTTCCTTCCCAAGCCTGGCCATCAGTGTCTAGTGCTCCTATGGTTGCTGGTCTCTTTATCCTTCAGTGGCTGACTCTTCCTTATCTTCTGGCCTCACCTCTTCAGTAGCCACATACTCCTTCACCAGCAGCGAACTCTTGGCTTCTTCTGTCTACACTTCTGTCCATCTCTCTAGTCTCTCACTCTATCCACTACTGTCCCCTCCTTAAGACCTGTGACACTCCCTTTGTCTTCTTTGGGAACTTTCACTGCCCTTGCTATCCATTACCCCTCATGACTGGCCAGTGTCGTCACGATGCACGACCCCACCTTTCTCTTGCATAAACACTTACCTGACAGGCCACCGCTAGAACTCTCTCTGGAGGTAGCTTGGTCTACTTTCCTCTTGGGAAGTAGTTCTAGGGTTCCCGAAGCCCTGGAAGAGAGAACAGCACTGAAGCGGACAGTTACCTGATCAAACCTGAGCAGTCTCCAAAGGCTCAGCTAATCATTAATGGTGCCTAATTCTGAGGTGATATTACTCCTCCTAGTCAAGTTTATGTGCAGCACAGTCTTTGAGTCTGTGGTGAGGTGTCAACTGAACTGCTTGTTAACTCAAGGGGTCAAAATGAGGTTTGTTCCCATGATTGGCAGTGAGCTTTTACTCCAATCATGGAAAAAGAATGGAGCCTCAGAATCTCCATGCACTGTCTCGCTACCTTTAATCTTCTCATTCGTTTGGCCTCCACCAAGGGTCTCTTTTCATGCTGTTTGTGACACTCACTCCTCCACTGCCACAGCGTGGATCCAGGCCTCTTGCCAGTGACCCCACAAGTGTGTCTCTTGGCTAGCTCTCTTTCTTGCTGCTCATCTATTTGATGTCTCCCCTTGGATATAGCACAGGTTTTTAGGAACAGATTCAGATGGTGCCAGGCATTCTAGCTCTAACCGATGCTACTGCATCTGTGGCCTTTACCAGCAAATGGCAAAGGGAAGGGATTTTTATGTTTCATGATTCTTATTTTCCAAAGCCCTAAAGCAGCTTCAGGTGGCTATCCAGTAAACATAGTAAATGTATGTTGAATACATTGTCCTTCATCCTCAAAATAACCGACCTTTAATTCTAGCACTAGGGAGAGCGGGGCAAGATGGCGGCGCCGGGAGGACTCTCATTCTGAGGAGCAGCACAGCAGGATTGGCACAGTGACCAGCAATCAGAACTCGCGGCCATAAAACACAAGTGGTTGTGTTTCTCAGGTGAGAGGATACCCCACGGTGGGGGATTCGATCAGCTTTAACTCACCCGGCTAAACCGGGGAAGAGATCCCTGTTCCGCCAGGCGCTTAGTCGCCAGCCCAGAGCTACCCACCAGCGCGATCTGGTCACGGTCCCAGACTGAACTGTGGGCCCACAACACCATAGACTGGATTTCCCAGTCGAGAGATAACCCCACGGAGCAGGAAACAATTGGGACCGACCCCAGGTTACCCAGACATCCCCTGGAAAAGACTCGGGTTCCGCGGGTGCCCCAGGAGCCAGCCCGGACCCAGAGCCGGGACAAAGGCGCCTGCACAGAGCCCTGCCTGCGCGCGTAATTCGCCGCCTCAGATAGAACTGTGGGCACCAGGGCACCAGACTGCATGTCTCTGGCAGGAGGAAACCCCCAGTGGAGGGGGTCAGCAGCTCTAACGCTTAGGACACCCAACACCAAAACACTTCCTGGACTCACGCAGACTCTAGTGCAGGCAGAAGCACTGTGCTCTGCCGCCATTGTTGTGTTCCCCTGGGGCATTGGGACACACAGCTGCATCCTCGGACCTGCAGGAGCCGAAGAGCCATTACAGCAGCCCTCAGATACTGTGCCAGGGATCGGCCAGTTGTCCCTGGCTGGACTGCCAAAACTGTGGGAATCCCTGATCCTTCAGGGGGGCTGCACCCACAGCGTCTGGACCAGAGCGGTGCCTACAGCCGCCATCCCAGACAGAGACACACAGCTTCTGGTCCAGAGTGAGGCACCCAGCCTCCAGACCAGAACAGTGCCCCCAGGCGACAACTCAACCTAGGTGCACATTCTCCAGGTCCAGAGCAGAGCAATCAGCCTTTGGCCCAGAGACTTGCTGAGTGCACCTCCCACTTTCTCAGACAGAACTGTGCGCCCCAGGATAACAGACTGAGTTTCCCTGTTGGGAGAAAACCCCACAGCTAGGGAATCAGCAGGTTCTTCAAGAGGACTGTACATGGAAATTTAGTGAGCAGCAGCACACTAAATTTATAACAAGAAACCCAGCAGTGGGGCAGCTGTCTTGAGAAATTTTATGGGTAAGAGGAGATTCCCCCCCTGCCTAACATAGATCACAGCTACTACTCAGGGCTATAAACCTGAGGTGAGCAGTGGCAACTCTGGAGAAACACTGGCCATACAGTGACCATAACCAAAAAGCAGAGAAGGACTCCTTCAGAAAAAATCATCTTCCGGCCAAGGGGATACTTCCTACCTCAGGACTCCAGGAAGCACAGAAACTAACAGCCAAAACCTAAATCAGCCCAATGGGTAGAGGTCAGCGTAAAGGCTCAAACAACAAAAGACAGAGCAATATGGCATCTCCAGAACCCAGCCATCCAGGGCGAACAGCCCTGAACAATGCAGCATAATAGAAAATCAAGAAGATGACCTTACATCTATGTTGATGAAGAGAATAATAGAGGAAACAGATAAAATACGTAAAGAATTAGAGGAAGATAAAACCAAACAGATCATGGCTATCCGTAAAGAAATGGAGGAAGATAAAGACAAGCAAATTAGGGCCATCCGTGAAGAAATACGGGAAGATGCAGCCAAACAGCTTGTGGCCTTCAGAGAAGAAATAATTAAATCACTGAAAGAAATCGAAGAGACAGAGTTGAAGGAACTAAAAGAAAAAGAGGAAAATACAAGCAGACAGGTGAAGGAAGTAAACAAAACAACTCAAGACCTGAAGATAAAACTAGAAAAATTAAAGAAAACACAAATGGAGGAAATAATGGAGAGGAAAAATTTAGGGAAGAAAACAGGAACTACAGAGGTAAGCATAACCAACAGAATACAAGAAATGGAAGAAAGAATCTCAGGTGTAGAAGATACAATGGAAGAAATCGATGTATCTGTCAAAGAAAATGTTAAATCCAAAAAATTCCTGACACAGACCGTCCAAGAAATCCAAGACAATATGAAAAGACAAAACCTAAGAATAATAGGAATAGAGGAAAAAGAAGACTCCCTTCTCCAAGGCCCAGAAAATATTTTCAACAAAATCATTGAAGAAAATTTCCCCACGTTAAAGGAGAAGCCAATAAGGATACATGAGGCCTACAGAACACCCAACAAATTTGACCAGAAAAGAAAATCCTCCCGCCACATAATAATCAAAACAGTAAGTATACAGAACAAAGAAAAAATACTAAAAGCTGCAAGGGAAAAAGGCCAAGTAACATATAACGGCAAACCCATTAGAATCACACCTGACTTTTCAACAGAAACTATGAAAGCCAGAAGGGCCTGGACAGATATCATGCAGACCCTAAGAGAACACAGATGTCAGCCCAGGCTACTATACCCTGCAAAACTCTCAGTCCTCATAGACGGAGAAAACAAGATATTCAATGACAAAAACAAATTTCAACAATACCTACACACAAATCCAACATTACAGAAGACACTGGAAGGGAAAATACAACCCAAGAAAATTAGCTTCTGTCAAGAAAACACAGGAAATAATTAACCTTACTACAGCAAAACAAAAAGCAACCAAGCACACAAACTTATGAACACAGCCAACATCAAAATCAAAGGATCTAACAGCCACTGGTCATTAATCTCTCTCAACATCAATGGACTCAACTCTCCAGTAAAAAGACACAGATTAACAGAATGGATACGTAAACAAAACCCAGCAATCTGTTGCATACAAGAAACACACCTAAGACACAAAGATAGACATTACCTGAGGGTAAAAGGTTGGAAGACGACTTTCCAATCAAATGGACCCAAGAAACAAGCAGGAGTAGCCATTCTAATATCTGATAAAATAGACTTTCAACCAAAATTAATAAAAAGAGATGAGGAAGGACACTTCATACTCATCAAGGGAAAATTCCACCAGGAAGACATCACAATCCTGAACATCTATGCCCCAAATACAAGAGCACCCACATTTGTAAAAGAAACATTGATAAAATTTAAACCACATATAGATCCCCACACATTAATAGTGGGAGACTTCAACACCCCACTCTCAACAAAGGACAGGTCAACAAAACAGAAATTAAACAAAGAAACAATATCTCTGACAGAGGTCATGAATCAAATGGACCTCACAGACATCTACAGAACTTTACACCCAAACACAAAGGAATTTACCTTCTTCTCAGCACCTCATGGAACCTTCTCCAAAATAGATCATATAGTTGGTCACAAAGCAAGCATCAACAGATACAAGAAGACTGAAATAATCCCTTGTATCCTGTCTGATCACCATGGAATAAAGCTGGACTTCAACAACAACAGAAATAGCAAAAAGCCTACACACTCATGGAAACTGAACAACTTGTTACTAAATGACAGCTGGGTCAGGGAAGAAATAAAGAAAGAAATTAAAGCCTTTCTAGAACTCAATGAAAATGAAGACACAACATACCCTAACTTGTGGGACACAATGAAAGCAGTGCTAAGAGGAAAGTTCATAGCACTAAGTGCCTTCAAGAAGAAATTCGAGACAGCTCATTCAAGCAACTTAATGGCCCACTTAAAAACCCTAGAAAAAGAAGAAGCAGACACACCAAAAAGGAGTAGACGGCTGGAAATAATCAAACTCAGGGCTGAAATCAATCAATTAGAAACAAATAAAACAATTCAAAGAATCAATGATACCAAGAGCTGGTTCTTTGAGAAAATCAACAATATCGACAAACCCTTAGCCAAGCTAACTAAAAGGCAGAGAGACACCACCCAAATCAACAAAATCAGAAATGAAAGGGGGGACATAACTACAGACACTGAGGAAATCCAAACAATCATTAGGACTTACTTCAAAAGTCTATATGCCACAAAATTTGAAAATCTAAATGAAATGGACAATTTTCTTGATCGATTTGACTCACCAAAGCTGAATCAGGACCAGGTAAATCAATTAAATAGCCCTATATCCCCCAAAGAAATAGAAGCAGTCATCAAAAGTCTCCCATCCAAAAAAAGCCCAGGACCAGATGGCTTCAGCGCAGAATTCTACCAGACCTTCAAAGAAGAGCTAACTCCAATTCTCTTCAAACTATTCCACAAAATAGAAACAGAAGGAACATTACCAAACTCATTCTATGAAGCCACAATCACCTTGGTACCTAAACCTCACAAAGACTCAACAAAGAAAGAGAATTTCAGGCCAATCTCCCTTATGAACATTGATGCAAAAATACTTAACAAAATACTTGCAAACTGGATCCAAGAACACATCAA